ATGACGATAGTGATGGCGATGACGATGGCGGGGATGAATGGCGATGGAGATGATGATGAATGATAGCTGACGCGAGTCAAATGTTATATATATTCACGATTTCATGCCTTTTTTCTCCCCGCAGAGGGTTTGCTCCAGGGCTGGCACCTGAGCGACAGTCAGAATCAAAAGACACGTTGTCGTTACACAGCGAAAAAAATTACACAGAGAAGATTTTACACACAGAAGCCTTTACACAGAGAGGGATTTACACAGAGCAGCTTTTACACAGACGCTTTTGCACACAGACGCTTTTATATACAGAAGCTTTTACACAGAAAAGCCTTGTCACCACAGAAAGCCTTTAAACAGAGCAGCTTTACACACAGACGCTTTTTCACAAAGAAGTTTCTACACACAGGAACTTTAACGCGCAAATGCCCAAGCTTTTACACACAGGAGCTTTTGCACACACATGCCTTACAAAAAGAAGCTTTTAGACACAGAAACTTTTACAGCCTTTTCACAAGAAAGCTTTTACACAGAAGCTTTTGCACAGAGATGCCTTTACACACAGAAGCTTTTACACACAGAAGCTTTTACACAGAGAAGATTTTGCACAGAGAAGCTTTTTCACAGACAAGCGTTTGTGGGAAGGAACTTTGAGCACAAACGGTTTTTACATACAGCAGCTTTCACACAGAGAAGCCTTTGCGCGGACCAGCTTTTACACTTAGGTTTGTTTTCACAGAGCAGCGTTTATGCGGAGCAGCTTTTACACACTGAAGCTTTGACGCAGAGAGGCCTTTGCACAGACAGGGCTTTTACGCACAGAGATTTTCACACGGAAGCTTTACACAGAGAAGCTTTGACACAGAGAAGCGTCTAAACAGAGCATCTTTTATACACAGAAGCATTTACACGCACAAAAGCTTTACATACACACAGAGCTTTTACACACAGACGCTTTTACGCATAGAAGCTTGTTCACAGAGCTTACAGACCGAAGGTTTGACGCAGAGAGGCCTTTACACAGAGGATGGAACAAAAAGAGTGCTTGGGTACTGACATTCAGGTGGCTGTGGAACCTTCAAAATTTCACTTTCTGTCAGAAGGGTCTCTTGTGGGAGAGGGGTACTTAGGCCCAAAACATCCACATTCTACATCTTCGGATTGTTAGGGTATATACAATATATATTTATGCAAATTGAATAAAGGTAATCATGCGCATACAAAGGAAAAACTCATAGATCATATATTTCAGTATAGATCAGCACGACGACGATATGATGTGATTGGATCACCCCTGGAGCGAACGGCTTCATCTTCAAGTCAAGCATCGATCGTGGTCAATTTTCCGATCGACTCGAACATCCACCGTGTTGTAACGACAAAGTTCTTGCTCAAAGTTCTTTCAATTCTTTGCCTCTAACGACTGACTTGCCTTGTGAAAAATTATTGGTTCGGTAAATCGCCACTTGTCACAAAAATCATCCAGTGCAATTCCTGTGGAGAAAAATAAGAAAAACACAAAAAGCAAAAGAAGCAAAAGAAGTACACAAAGCAGACCCCCCTCATCTGACCTTTTCTACCCGACTTTTCTACCTGCCTCGACCTCAAGGAGGCGAAGTGGCGCCCTCGTCGCAGTTCGCCTTCCTGGTGAAGGCGCGGAATCCAAGGCGCAAATCCCAAGGCGGAGAAGGCGGAAAAAATGGTGCCCAGGGTGGCCAGGGAAGTGGAGCCCAGGGTGGCCAGGAAGCACCCCGGACTTCGGCATCCCCGGAATGGTGTGGTGAGTTTCCGTGGAACATCAGAAAGCGGATGCCCTACACTGGAACTCCCGTTTCTGATTTTGACAGTGGCAACTCGTGCCTTGCCTACATATGCCAAAATCAGTAGACCTACTTTTATTTCCGTGTCCCACAAAGATTGGTTGAACCATGGTTGACTCGAATTCCCCACAATGATCAATTTGTTGATAATCTCAAAACATCACCATAATGATTGGTTAATGGAATCACCATAATAATTATGGAATCATAAACCATTACTAACCGTTGATTGGTTGTTACAGGATTGATGCCCTCCCGCTGGCCAAGGTGGATGCTGCAACTACTTTGGTGCGAGAACCTGGTCCATCAATTTGACAGCTGGCGAGCTGTTCGGTTTCAACACTGGAAGCCATGCCGAGATCCCATCAGGCATGGTACTGCTTAAAACACACAACATGGATTTTTTTTTTGCAACATGTTTACACACAAACACATTGTGGCTGTTTTCCAAAGATTGGTGGTAGAAAGCACAGTTTTCATACATAGCAAACCCAAACTTTTTAGGTCACTCACAGGCACTGCGAATGGCTACTCGGATGGCGTACCTTGGTTGGTCAGCTCCGACAAGTCCATTCTCTGCCACGGTCCTGGTCACGGTGGCAGAGCTGATTTGCAATGTCACACGTGACACGGGGGTCACCTTGGTCAGAAGGGAGTACATTCATCTTATATTAAGTATATTAAGACATATTGTTATATTGAGATGAATGGAGTATATTTGTGTTTAAAAGAGAATTTCATGAAACATCAAGAACTGAAGAATTGCAGTAGAATCAGTAGAACTTGAGCTGAAGAACTTCAGTCGAAGTCCCAAAACAGTGGATCCCAGCTCCAAACCCACCTCCACAGCATCACTGAGGATGTTTCCGACGGCACTACACCTGACTGTAGTTTCTATTCAAGCGAGAAGCGAAAGCAAAGACATGGGAAGAATATCAAACAAAATAAGTCTTCGGTGAGGTTCACAACATGATCTGGTTTGCGTAAAGTGACTGGGGCGAAGGAAAAACTCCCCGGGTTCCCCAAAGAGCGTTTGGCATCGTCTGGCCATTTCTTTTCAACCTTGTCACGTGCTGGGACTCGGACTACTCATTATACTTCTACCACTTCTACCTCTTTTCAACCTCGCGTCTTAAGCCTGGCACTCCACAGCATCAGAGGAGAATCACTGCGAACGCAATTGGCAGCCTGTGTGGATTCGAAGGCAGTGAACTGAGAAGTTCGACATATCGAGTTGTCCCAAATGTCAAATGTGCCCTTCTTGGATCTCCCTTGAAGAATCACTTTAGCCCTTTTTGGATCTGATAGGATCAATGTACAAGGCTGACAAAGTGACAAAGTGCTTCCAGAATCTGAGAAGGGCAGACATCGTGAGATCCGAAGGCTTCATCAAAGAGTGAAAAAACCCGAAAATGCGCAGTGTAGAAAATGATGAGAACAATGAGAATTCGAATGCATTTGAGGTATCCGTGTAGGGTCAATGTTAGTGACATCTGTGTGACATCTACTTGAAATACCACATGTGTACACGACAGTTTGACAAGGTCGTGTCCCGTTGCACCGATGCGATGAGGTCCTGTCCTGTTTTTCTGGGACGCTTCTGAACAAAAAACATGGAAATTGCGGTGTTTTTCCAGATTGGTCATGTTTGCGCCAGGTTTTCGACGTGCACAAAACGTCGTAAATAGCGCCGCAATGTTTGATGTGTGCATTGCAAAAACACCGTAAATATCGCAAAGTTGTTAAAAATGTGTTGAAAACCATGGAAAAAACACCTTTTTGGGGCGTTGAACTCAGAAAAACATGGGTATTTACACCGCCGTTCTTGAGTTGAGCTGCAAGGAGCAAGGCCATGTCCCACCAATATTTCATTTTTTGCTAGGGTCAGGTATATCAGTCCATGACTTCTTTTGCCAACAATGTTCCCATATTGTGGACGCGCACCCCCGAAAACAATTTTTGCACCAAGCTTTACTGACATCTTCAATCACAGAGCGGCCTCGCCGCCAATGCAGCTGCGATGCCATGCGGGCTGCAGATGTGCCGTTGATGGTGTGCTCGCAGGCCTTAATTTTATTCCACAATTTGAATAAGTGATAGGCTGTCCAAACATGCTGGCTGGCTTCCGCTAACCATATAAAATGAATTTGATGCGCCTTGGTTGATAGGTGAAACACATTTGAACGTCGTCTGCTTTAAGGAGAGCCATGGGAACCAAATAGAAGCCAACGATGCGGGCGCTGCAGAATCCCACCATGTTTCCGGGCGGGTGTCACAACTCAAGGAACGATGAAAAAACAGCAAGCCTGCGCTCCGATCCATTCGACCTCAAACACTGTTCTTTTTCCTCGAGCAGAATCGACAGCACAGCTCCCACAGGCTGTCCTGGTTCGTTTTTGTGTGCATTAATTTCCTACAGCCGGATTTGGGGTGCGATTCTATCAGAAGAAATCAAAAAAAACATTATAAGATATTAAAAGCATTTTTAGGCTTCATAGATTTTGACAGCGCTCCAATGCAAAGATCTGGCTCAAAAACCTGAGAATGTTCAAGATATGTCGAGGTGATCCCAACTGCATGCAACATCATCGAACATCATTGGGCATCAGTGTGGAAGTCTCGTCGCATTTCGTCACTGCCATCACCATCCGTTTCGACGCAAGCACCCCATTCTGATGGCCATGCGGATGGAATCCGCTCCTAGATGCAGTGCCTTTTGATGTTGGATTTCTGAAGTGGGAAAGCACATTGGCAGCAAAAATCTGCAAAACATTTCCTAACACAGGGATCCACAGGGCTGCCAACATGAGTGCACCTGACTGCACAGAGGCACGCAGAGAAGCATCAGAAACCCAACATACCCCACATACTGCAAATTAAACAACTGGATGATCATCGACGTGCTGCAATCAGGGCGTCGGAAATACAAATGAAAAGTGAATACCAAAAAAGTTAGGCTGGAATTTGCATTGCCCGTCTTGATGCAGCTCAAACAACTGGAAAACGCGCAGCCAAACAATTCTCAGGCATCTTGAAACTGGATGTAGAATATTAAGAACGAGCACTCTGTGGAGATCACAAGTTCACCCATTCTGTAGTCAAAATCGAAACGGGTATGGCTCCAGTGCTATTTCCAAATCAAATTCCATACCGAGTAATAAATTGACTACGGAGAGTTTAGCCTTTTGCTCATTTGGGCTGGCGCTCTGCTAGGACGACGATGGTTTCGATGTGGTCGTCTTCCCACCCTTCTGGGGAAATGCATGAGCGAAGATCGCTGAAGGTCACGTTCTCTCCCCTTGGCAGGGGGGCGCAATTCGAGAGCGGGAATTAAATTCCAACATAAGCCCAATGCGAAACACATGCACTGAGTGAAGGCGCAAAACAAACACAATGCAAAATCCAAAATATAAGGATGCAGCCCAGGCGCAAACGCTTTGCCCTTGGGATGGCCGAACGGCTGAGATCAAATGGCTCATCTATCTTCTCATACCTCTCCGAAACTTCCATCGTGTGTTCGAAGTCCCGGCCAAAGAGGATCTCTTGCTCGTGTGCCCATGCGACCCTGGGAAGTCGGCTGCTGGGACCGTGACGCTGAATCAAATCAGGCACCGGGTCCGCGATCCTGCCTTGTGACTTCTGCCAAAGCAATTCCAGCGATGGTCTTTCGATTTGACTTTGGCAGAACCTTGGGCGCAGGAAAACCACCAAACTCTTTCGGAGTAGTTGAAGAGCTCTTGCAAGAACAACAGAACATACAACCAGATACAACACATGATTTGAAACCAGGACTGGAAAAGGTATTTAGGTAGCTCTAATTTGCAACCCTGTGGTGCAGTGCAACCTATGGGTTCTAATTTTCAAAGCAAAAGTGCTAAGTTTCAAATCCACACAAGGCAAACCCCAGGAAAACCATCTTACACCCCAACTTCATGGAGCCATGCCTGAAAACCTCCAATGGCGCAGGTCCATCCAGTTATGGTCCAACATAAGATGAGCCTAACAGGGCAGCTCAGGATGATGTAGGCACAACGTTATATCTGCACCTAAAGCCCAGTCCAACATGAGCTTGACAGGGCAGGATGCGATGCATGTTCAAGCCCTTGGATGGGTCTGACATGCAGAGCCCACGGAGGACAAAATCCAGGAGACCATCTTAGAGCCCCAATTGGTTGAGGTAAATCATGGATTGCATTTGGTTGGGGTGAACGAAACCCAAGAGCATTTCACACAACAACATGGGCCTTGCAAAATACTTAGGTTCCCAAACAAACACAGAGTTCCTGAAGCCCGCAAAATTGGTCAAGGTGGATCATGGACTGGATATGGGTAGGAGCGCATGCGAAAGCTCACGAACAAACATGAACCAAGGATGACATTGACCTTTGCCTGGGGGCTAGTAAATTTCATCAGCCATGGAAGTTGGTCCGCCAATTTCATCAGCCATGTCATTATAAGACGCAAGGGTTTGAAATCGTTGTGAAAAGAAAGTCTGGAATGGGGGTTGGCCCACTCTAGACCCTGGCGGGCAAAGCCCAGGGGGGTACCCGTGTAAGACCCTCAGTAGTTGAGGGTATAGGCTCTCGGGTGCCCTATTGCTGCCAGGGCGCCGCGAGGATAGTTTTCCCCTTCAAGGGGTTGTTCCGAGAAAAAGAGATGTACCCGGTGAAGAGGGCATGGTCGCATGTCCTCCAGGCATGGAACTGAGGCTGGCAGGGCTCTCCCGCATGGAACTCCGCACGCCAACCACCCAAACAAGCCACATCAACGTTTTCGCCATAGGCAATGCAAATTGACAGTACTGCTTATTAATTTCCTCTTAACCATCCCAGGCTGATTTGTTTGATGGAAAAGATGTTTGTTTGATGCGGCCCATTGCACTAAAAAAGTTCAAACATGATATCGCTTGCCCCTTGTTTCATCCTCCACAAGGTCAGCATGGGCTTCTCTAGTCGATCTGCTTGCCGAAGCCTCAACCAGGGCGGTCAATGTGTGTGCGCGCACGTGCAGGGACGCAACGTGCAGGAAAGATTGCGCGTGCAGGTATGCAATTAACCATGAAATTTTCTGCCAAAATCAACCAAAAAAAGGCTGAATCCCAATAGCATCGATGCACAACACACTTGCTCGAAGCACTACAATTCTAGTGACAAATCAGTTGCACACACACGAACATCTTCAAAAGCAAAGAATTCTGCACTTGACACAAAGAAAGCCAAGGGCGAAACTTTTGGAAGGCCCTCGCGAGATGGCTTTCGAGAATCTCCGCGCAATCGGAGAGGTAGTCGCCTGACAGGTAGCTTGATGATTCGAAAGGTCTTTAGCATCAACCTGGCAGCTTCATGCACACATCAATGCATGCCAGTCTCTAGCGAATAGGTGGTTGAAGTATCGGGGTTGGAGTCAAAATGAAACCCTGGTTCCATTATATCGGGATGAAACGATGGCCCCTAACCCCCTGAACGGGGCTGCACAGTATAGAATGCAAGTTCCCAGGGTCATAGCACACATCTGGTCTATAATAAAATCCAGCCCCCCAGTTCCCTGTGTGAACAAATTCATTCTCTGTAGAACGGTCACCCCCAGGGTATCGTCGAACAACTTTTTGAAACTGAATTCACTATAAGATGGAGGGTGCCTGGTGGCAAATGCCAGAAGTGGATGCACTGCAGAAGTGGCGTTATCGGCGTTTTTCACCAGCCCCCGCAGGACTGTAGAATGGAAACGAATGTAAGCACTGAGTGCAGTATGTGACGAAGGATTTCAGCTGTATGGGAAAAATGGTTGGTGACGAACCCTAGCTACCACTTTCACTGCTGTCAATCGATACACGCTGGCATCCGCTGGACTCAAGCTCCCCCTAGCTAGCTGGTGAGAAATAGACAGGGCCCTTGCTGTGCGCTTGCACTAGGGGTCATCATTCCACAGAGGCAATGGCAACAGGTATGTTGAAGTCTGATATGATGAAAGTTGCCATTTGTGTCATGCACCCTGCGCCTTCTCGCACAGCGCTGTGAGTCCACCCGCATTGGTGCCCTCAAGAGTCATCAGATCTTTCAACCCACAAAAACCATGGGGATGGAAACTTGAAAACCTGAGACCGCTGCTCGAGTAGGAGCCATCGATTCGATGTTCACGGCCTTACAAAGTCTATATTTTGAATCCAATCGGCGCCGAATCAATGTGGGCAACCCGAGGTCGTGGCACAAACCATTCACGATGGTGAACGCGTCGGCGCTGTAGGCGGTAAGAGCTTCCTGCTCCTGACCGACTCAAACTTGAGGGCCCAAGGGGGGGTGGACGAAAGCTATGCTCGCAGCCTGATGGTTGTGGCTGGGGGTTCGAGAAGCATGCGGTCACATGCAATGGGCGCATACTAAAACTGGCAAACACCATGTTACCCCAACACCTTCTGAAATCATCGCAATGGCTTGTTCTAGTTAAACTGTCAGATCGCTTGGTCCGCACCAGCCGCAAGATAGTCTTGACAGAGACGGACTTGGAAGGAACCAACCCCTGTTTTGGCACCAAAATCATCCCATCAAAGGAACCTGGGTGAAGTTGAGCCCTGGGGGATCAACAAATGACACTTCACGCGCAATATAGATCTCCTGCCCCCAGACCCCCGAATACTTTGCTAAAAGCAAAAGGAAACTCCAGCTAGCTACCGCTAGCTTTCGTGAAAAGGGCAAAGCAGCCAAATCACGAAAGCTTTGCAGTCAAGGCACGTGAAGAGTGAGGACCTCCTTCTCCGCCTCCTTCTTCGGCGACGGAGGCACTTCCACGACTTCCCTTGTCACGCAAATGGTGAACAGCATTTCTTTAACCTGGCTGTATGTTTCAAATGTCCGCTTCACAAGCCCCTGGCACTGATCCATCGTTGTACACATCGATGCGGCGCACCACACGACGGTCCTGTGTACCTTCCAAGAAAGGAATTGGCATCTGTAAGTTGGAAACCGAAAAACCTTGAATCAGAAGAGCTTGTCTTTTGAGGCTCCAGCTTTCTGCGGGCCGCTTCAAGCCCTGCATCAACCCAACTTGATGGAAGACTTATAAACAAGAACAAACAATCCCATGTGCAGGAAGCCAAGTTCATACTTAAGTAAGACTTGTAGCAACATCCTCGCTGGCTTTGAACCGCATTGGAATAAGCCACACTGGCCTTCTCGCGAGGCACTGGGCTCTGAACTGGCAACTCCTTCACAAGCAGAAAGGCTTCAAAAAATATTGAGTTGAGTTTCCGAATACTAGATCAAATTTTGAAGCAAGTTGTAGTAGCAGTTTCACCCCCCCCAACCAAAAAAAATGCAAAGATCGAACTTATTCGAGTGCAACACTTCTGCAGGTGCGTTTTGGTTTCGCGAGTAGTGACATGCTGCTTAGATGGTTGGAAGATCATGCCATGAAAGCTGATCTTATTCCCGGAGAAGCAGTATGGCAACTAGGCAAGCACTCGCGCTATTTTCAAACTCTGAAACAACAGCTTAGTAAGATGGCCGAAGAACTTGGGTTGGGTGTCTGTAATCGGGAACTCTTGTGCCGGTGTGCGTCTGCGAAAAATGAAATTCATAACATCATATAACATCCATGGATATTCCCCGAACCAATGGTCATTCGGACAGAACTCTGCCTGTGTCTTCTCCTACTTGGAAATTGGAAATGTACGACAGTTCGTCTAGCATGAGTAGCAACCATCTCAGTTTCCAGGAAAATATCCAAAAGATGCCAACGGCTCGGGAGGTGTTCATCAAATGTGACAGCGCTCGCAGATTAGAACGAGCAGCACGACACAAACCACGTAAGGAACAAGCTTTCCAGGTTGGTATGTTGGTCTACTACTATCTGAAGTCTATTGGCTCTGCTGCTGGTGCTGCTGCTGCTGCTGCTGCTTGTCAACACTCTTTCGAAAAAAATTGTGGATGGCAGCTTTCAGTCCTCCGAAAAAATCCAAGAGAAATGGTTGCTCACGTGGCGAGCACAGAGAAGAAAAGAATTGATGAACAAACCAAAGAAGCGAAAGAAACAAAAGTGTGTCTTTGGGAGGTGGAATGAGTTGCGGGCCCAATAGGATTATTTTGTACTAGACGAAGAAATGATGCCTTGGACATGAAGGTCTCCTCTTCACACATTTACCAACCCGAACAGGAAGCAATGTATGGTCTTAAAAGCGGTGTGCCCCTACAGTTCTTTTCAAGCAAGTTATTTTCTGGCACATTGAAAATGATGCTCTGGACACATTGTGCGCAAGGTTTCCTCTTCGCACACTAAAACGGTGTGCCCATTGTGTTTTTCTGCTCGCGCTCTGACTTTTGGCGCCCTGCTCTGAGTTTCATGTAATCCGATACGGGTTTGCTGCGGTGCTCTGACTTTTGGTCACATGCTCTGACTTAGGGCGCCCGCCCAAAACGTACGTATCATGTTATTTAGGTATGCATCTCCGTAAATCCCGTGTTTTCATCTGTGAGCAATGGAGGAAAGACTGCCTGGCAGCCAGCAAGAGAATCAGCAAATTTTGCGGAGGGTGATTGCACCAATTTTGCCCAACGAATCTCTTCAGCATTCCTCCAGTTTTGGGCTGAACGGCGGCTTGTCCATGGCAAAGGCTTTCCGGAGGAGGAAAGTCGACCAGACTGCCGAGGTATTCATGCATATGTGCCAGAAGATGGAGGAGCTCGAAGTGATCACCGACCAAGAAGATGGAGGGAGCCAACCAATGAGAGAGAGGACAGGACAGCTGCAGCCGTTCACCACCACCTGGGAACATGGACCTCATCATGTAACTGGATCATGAGATTGGGAATCCCAGGGTTGAGATTGTTCTTACGATTGGTAGTCGGGATGTTCATCTCGCTAAGAGGGTACCCAAATCTGCTGGTTTGTGAACTAGCAGGCCAAACGAAGTGCTGAAATCAGCTTCAAGGAACTCACTGAACAAGGAAAAGAAGACTTCAAAACAGCCAGGAGGAAAGAAATCGGTTCCTACGTAAAAAACATGGCCATTGAAATTGCAAAAGATGCAAAAAGCGTAGGGTTGATGTGAGTCGAATTTGGGGGATGAGATGGATATTTTAATGGAAACCCCAAACCGATGATCATGGAGTGGTTGTCGGTAGAAAATCCAAAGCCCGGTTGATCATCAAGGGATTCCAAGATCCGCATTTACTTCGTATTCAACCGGATCCTCAGGGACATGGTTCTTACGTGCCCACAAGAAATAGAAGATTTGTTTGGGGGAGATTAGCGCGGCCTGTTTGAACTCGAACCCCACAGAACTGGAGAGGGAAGTGTAAGGGAAACCACTAGATGATGTAAAACAGGAGCTGGCTATGAATCCTAAGGACCTTTTCCAGATACGTAAGGCTATATACGGTTTGTTGAACTCCCCACGAAAATGGCTGGGCATGTCGGCTATGCAGCTAACCAATCTGGGCTGGAAACAAAATACTCCTGACAACAACTGGCAGCAAATACCAGCCCCCGGCCTTTTTCGCGCTGCTTGAGAAAGTGTCCTGAACACAAAAGGCCAATGGGTGCTCATGCTTGGTATCACTTGATACAGTATATCAGCCAGCCTTCATGTAGTTAGGGAGCATGGCGGCGAGGGCAAAATAAGCGGGTTCGTGCTTGAAAGGCAGCAAATGCTGCAGCAGAGTACATTCAAGTTGGAGAACCCCAAGACCTTTCCAAATAACCAAATTGGAAATGGAAACATCAGGTTCGTGAACTGTGACGCACTTTCACATTGGTCAAACTAATTATACTGTGATTTCCACAATTTAAAATATCAAAAAAGTGTGGCCAAATCTGCAGGGACAAACACTTTTCTATGTGCCGGAGTCAGAGACAAGCATCTATTCTGTCAATCAGCTGTCACCGTTTGCAAACAGCGCACTCGAAGATCAAATGCAAGCTGAAGAGAAATTCTTGCCTGTTTGAAACAAAGAATAAGCAACCCGGGCCCAGAAAGTACACAGCGATACAACAAAGCAATCCGAAATGCACAGACATTCAATTCCCGTCAATTCCACACCTTTTGAGACATGCTCCATTTCTGAGGTATGCCACGAAAACCTCACAGGGCCCGGACAAAGCACAATGTCAAACTGCTTATGGCAACACCATGCAACACCAAATTCTGCTCCGGTCCTCGCGTTCCTGGAGGACGGATCGATCACCAAAATCGTAGCCAATGGCTTCTCGATCATGGGGGCAAGCTTTTCACGGCCATACCTTGTTTTCACGGCCATACCCGTTTTCACGCTCAACAAAGGTAAATTTCACAGCCACAGTGAGTGACTGCATTTGGTCTGTTAAAAACATCAAGCAACATGCATGCGGATGGGTGGGAGGGCATAATTAGTACGTTTTGCTTGTTCTTTGCATACAAGATGATGCAATGTGAATGTTGAGCTAGTTGCGCCTGCGACTGGCACATGCACAAATAGCCTGATGTCATTGTGAGGCGCTGGTCTGAACTAAGTGTTGATTTAATAGCAGATAGTGCGCGCAAGATACAGGGCCGGGTGGGAAGGGATCCCGGACACCCAACCATGGGGTGTCCGGAATACATATATATATATATATATATATATCATATGAATAAAAATCATTTGAATATATATATATATATAGTTATATATATATATATAGATAAATATGTCTTTATAAACACACTTTTTTAAAGAATACAACTATACAGTATACGTAGATAATTGTTTGTGTCTCTTTTTTTCTCTCTCTCTCTCTCTCTTTCTCTCTCTTTCGTTTTTTGGTAGATACATGTAGGCATGGTTCGTGTGTGGAAATAATTTGCAACATATATATTTGTGGATTGCGGAGATAAACCACCCAAGTTCCACAGATTCACCCACATGATCCCACATGGGAATCCAACATAGGCAGTCTTATTCATGTTTGCTTCCAGGTTTGTGTCTTGATTCCAAAGGAAACCCCACCAGCTAATACTAAGTATGTTGACCGTGTTGACCTATAATTACTTTGATACCCAAACATGAGATGACAAGTTTTGGGTGAAGTGTTGAAAGGGCCACTTCCCTTACCAATTGGTCCGCAGCTGCTGCGCAAACAAAAACACAGCAAATGAATTGCAGCCCATACCCAAACAGAACATGTTTTTTTGGAATCAAAGAACAGACCGTTCTCCACAGGCCACTCAAGCCAACAACCCGCTTGACACAAATTCAATTTTTTGCCACCTTGCCGGGCCAGTATGGCAGTGACAGCAGGGGAACTTAGCGCAAATTGGCTTTGCTCTTTGAGAGGTTAGCCGGCACAGCAAGCAACCAACGTTGCAATACTCGGATTTGTGCACTTTTGACATTTGTCAACCGAATGGTTTTCGATATCTTTTTTAAAAAGTCTTCGTCCATCCATGTTGAATAAAAAGCAGGATTGACATTCCTTTCAGAATGGGTCAAGTGATCAAAAGCATGTATCTTCGGAATTGTTTTCCACATGAATTCTCGGTTCGCGATGGCTTCATGACTCAGCCTCAAGTAAGTGTTGATGTAAACGGTGCCGAGGAAACTCACAGTTTGTTTCTCACCCGGTGTCAGAAACCACTGCCCAGCATAAAGGGTTCGCATGCAATGGTTGGCGCTCCAAACCAACATGGTGATGTCCCGAAAGCAATCCAAGGCATGACGCAACAATAATTTTTCTAGCCATACCATCACCACATGGCAATCACTTCCAGATGACCCCAATTCCGGGATTTTTTTCGATTGCCATCTCAACTTGCTTTTGGAAAATTTCTTCATTTTGAGTTGGTAGTGGTTTTGTTTGGCAAAGTTCC